AGATTAAACTCACTTAGAGTTGTAACTGAGAAAGTATTCTCAAGTGAGAATGATTTAGTGTAAAACGGTAAAAATATACTTCATTAATCACACAAAAGGCTGCCAGTAAAAAAATCAAAACAAAAAATGAAAATTAGCAAACCAGAACTTAATCGCAATATGCCAATTCTCAAAACTACAACTTTTTTCCTTTTTTGTTTTTTTTTACATCTGCTCAGTTTACCAGTAAACAATTAAAGGCAGAATCCAATAGCACTGGGAGTCATCCAGACCAGGCTTTGGGAACCATGACAAAGTAACAAAAAGCTTGACCAGGCTGTTACAGATCTTGAAATAGAGATCTAATGCTCCCCAAATCAAAAAGAGGCCTCAAATTCTTGCTATTAAATTACTATCAGTAAGTCTAGACATTGGTTAGACTCACATGTGCATCATTTTCACAAGCTATAAGCACACAATTACACTCATTGAAAATGTGTATTGTCCTGGTGCACACATGATGTGCATTTAAACAAAATAAGCACTTGGTGCTGGACTGTATGTGATGTAAATTAGGGCAGTCCATAGACAGGCTGAAGATGAAGCCCCATTAAAGCTTCACAGAGGGTTTACAGTAGCTGTTTCTGAAGCTGGATGATCTAAAAACATCAGAACATCAGCAGCGTGCAAACTTAATTACTGAATCATCCTCTACAATTCTGATTTTGGAGCTGTAGAAAAATCAACAGATATGCTGTCACACAAATCTTATTCCATCCTCCTTGAGCTGAGAACAAATGAAACAAAGATGGGTTGACATACATTAACTCAGCAATTGCACATTTGCAATACACACAAGAGTGTTCAAACATTTCAGAAAATGTGACAACAAAATGCATGAACCAGCTCACGTTAGAATGAGCTTGTACAAATCTTCAGGAAAAAGACTTACACTGCTCTTAATAATATAAAGATTAAATAAACTGTAATTGTGATGCAACTCTTAGGATTTTTTTTTTAAGAAACACAGAAATTCCTATAATTAAGGTTCAATCCAAGCCTACCATTTCAGTAGCATCTGAACTTTAGTTAAGGGGCAAAAAATGCATAACTTGTAAACCAAGCTTTAATGTGCTGTCAAGTTTGGTACCATATTTTAAGTTCTCCTTGGCAATCAAGCACATTTATCTTACAGACTAATCCTGCAATATCCTTATACCATATACTGTCAAACCACTTGTCACAGTTAAATATTCTGTCCTTTCATAAAGCAGCTTTTCAGAACTACCAGCACCACTATTAGCAATACAGTTATTTTATTCCCTGTATTCCCCATATGTTCAGGACACTTTTCACCCAATTTCTGTGAAGGAAGAAAGTCATATAAATTTTCTCTCTTTTTTTTTTTTTTTTTATATTTCATTATCCCATCAGAAGTTCACTGGTCTTTCCTTCCTGGAAAGAACACAGGAATAAGAACTGTCCTCTGCTCACCTAACAGCAATTAGACAACCTGTGTGGTCCCTTCTTCTGTGCAAAAATTATAATGGCTGGGGAGAAAAGCAAACTCAGCTCCAGAACACCTGGCAGTTAAAGAAAGTGGCTCACATTCTACAAGCTAAGCAACATGTAGGTGTAAAGGCTGAGAAACTCACCACTTCTCAAGAAAACCTAGCGTTCCTTCCACCAGTGGAGCAGCTGTGATGGAGACTGCTCTTGCAATCCCCACTGCTGCTCAGGGCTGTGGTCCCACCCAGTTAAGATGCAGCTGGTCGGCTGCTTAATGACTGGCTGCCACCAAAAAGACAAATCACCTCCTGCACATCCTCCCTCCCCTCCTGCACAGCAGCAGGGATGCCCAGCTGATCCTTTGCTGAGCCAGGACGGGGAGCAAAGCTGGCCAGCACTAAGGCTTTGGGGTTTACTTTTTCTCTTCTTTTGTCAGATTAGTTTTCTGTTACTTAAAACACAAAAACACCTATAATTTAAGCATAAGCAAAGCCAAGCTCCCCATAACAAAAATAACAGAAACCAAGGATTAAGTAGATCACTTTCAGTACTGGCTGTATCACGATATATGACACCAATCACCTCTACGTTCTCATTATGTGAGCAAAAGCAAAGGGATTAAATTAAAGAAAGACAATAATAAGACTGCAGAGACTACAGTAGAGGAAAAAGGGGGCTTTAGGCCAGAGAATACAAAGGAAGTGTGTAACAAAAGTTCAAGTTCTACCACAGGTCAAGTGGAGTATTTTTTGTAGAACCAATGAAGCACACAGACTCATTTGTCAGGGGCCACAGCTATTCGTCAGTATCAGAGGTAAAAACTGACAGAGCTTTAATAATTATATAAGTATCTTATTCAAATACACACAGAGAATGAGATTATTCAGTAATTTATCTGATGAAAAGTCAGCTGCTGAAATTTCAACCACTGAAGGTAAAATGCACCAAGACACAATCACTGATACAAGAAACATCACCCCAAAACCAAAACTTCAATTCTGAAAAACACACGCATTGATTTTACTACGAGTCTGCCCTTAAAAAAGTGGGGAAAAGAAACAGAACTAATGTTGCTTGTTTCGGGAAATAAACAGGGCATGTAGATATCACAGTCAACGCAGATACTGCTGAAAGAAATTTGGAATTCCAAAAGAAATAAATAACAGCTAAAAAAAAAGACAAAGACATGTTTTTCAGGTTAAATATTTTGGCACGAGAAGTATAATTTCATATTGTCTTGGTATTTCAAAGCTTTACAATATAGAAATCCTTTCTCAAGTCTTCCAAGACTGTAAAATTCTATCAAGCATTTCTCTTCACACACGATTTTTGACGAGTCCTCTTAGAGATTTATTCGTAACATTATTACCAATGTAGCCAAACTCTATTGTGTCAGAGTCAGTTATTTAAGTTCAAAACAATATTGTTCTGTTTAGAAAACGCTCATATGTCATGACTGTCCACGAGGATTGAATGGTTAACAGAATTGCACCTCATGTATGAGCCATGAAAGAGAAGCATGAAAAATTTGGGTGTAGGTCCAAAGTTTCCAGGAAAGGGAAGCACAGCAAGTGGCAAAGATAACGATGAGAAAAAGAGAGGACTTTGGATGCTGCAGTCTATCACCAGTAGAGCAGAGAAAGCTGGGCTGATGTGGTAAGACAAAATGGTAATGCAGCAAGACTAGTTAGGCAGAGCCTCAAGGGACGAGAAAATAAATGAAAGTTTAAAACACAATGGAGTAACTCTCTCCAAGATAATCCACGTGGGGAGATAGATGATCTGATACAGATAGTGTGAGATAACTGTCAAATGCAAGGTGATGTTTCAAGGTGCCTTTGTATGACAAGTGAACATTACCCTTCCACTGCTGAGCTCAAGCAAGCAAAAAAAGTATCAAAGTACAACATCAGGAAACTAAGGTACAAACAGTCCAAACTCAGCCAAAACAGCTCCACATGCACAAAGGTTTCCCCCCTCCTGCCTTGAAATAGCAAAGTCAAGAATGGCCTCATACCAGAAGGTATGAAGGATGATCTAGCAGACACTTATCTCACCCACACAGACACATTTAAAAAAAAGACTGAACAGCCGGAATTGCCACATTGAACAACTCACTCCTTAGAATAATTCCTGATTTAATGTTGGATACCGTCCAGCAATTATTCAAAGTTACTAAATAGTCATGGAGCAGCAAGGAAATTTTTAGCAAAATGAGCTTGCATAAACTGTTCTACATTCAACTAAAACACCTATTTAACAGAGGTTTCAAAACATTTGGTAAAATAACTAATATAAAACACTACAAACACACTACATTCCCAGAAAGGCTGCTGAGTCTCGAATTTACAGAACTATGATGGTTAAAACCAATCTGTACATTTCTAGGCTACGACAGCACCAAAAAACGCCACCAGAGCTAAACTACAAAATGAAATAAACAAAAAAAAAACAAAAAAACCCAAATCCCCCACTCCTCAAAACTAAACCCAACAACAAACCACTTCAGCTGAGAAGAGCAAGTACCATGCAAGTAGCAGATGCCAAGCACTCTTTTAAGTCAGAATGGAAGGTTGCATTTTCAGCTTCATCCTAGAGGAGTGCTGGATTTACAGTTTCTAGAAAAATACAGCCCACATTTCCACACAGTTCACAGATATACTCAGAGATGGATGATTCATGGGCACGAATCCCCGTGGTTTTTAAGAAAACACCGTGAAACAAAACACCTTTATTTAAAATGAAACAAAGCTTCTTACTAGAAGTTCAAGCGGACTGTGGAAATCCATATATTTAGACTTCCCACTTATATTTTCAAAATTACTTGAAAGCACTTGATGCGATAAGTCACTCTAAATTCTTTAAATATTAAGGAATAAGCTTATAGGGATGGAAGAACCGCTTAACAGCCAGCAGACTGTCACATATCTCCAAGTGTATATATGCTCCCTTATGCATAACATGTTGAAACTGCAAAATCAAATGGGTGTAAAGATCGGAAGGGAAGGACCGCTGCAGCCCAGAGAACGACAGCGTGCGAACTGTGCTTGTAGACCAGAGCACCATGACGGACGGAGGCAGCACCGGCAGCACTAACGGGGAGCTCGCGTTCCCAAGCGGTTCCTCCGCCGCGGCACCGGCGCTGCTCGGGGAGCGGGACCGGCGGCTGCCCCGGGCACGGTGCGAGGAGGGCGGCGGCGGCGGGAGCCTCGCCCCGGAGGAGCGGGGCAGTCCCGGCCGGCGGCTCCAGGAGGGCCGGGCCCGCGGGCGGGAGGTGAGCGGGGGCCGGCAGCGCGGAGCCCCCGAGCGTCCCCTCCGGCCCGGCGGGGCCCGTCCCTACCGCCGGCGGGCGGGCAGCGCAGCAGCGGGAGGCGGCCCCGGCGGCTCGGGGCGCCCGGGAGCCGCAGCAGCCGGCTGGGACAGGTCTGATCCGGCGGCCCCGTCCCTGCCCCCTCCCCGCCGGGCGCGCCCGGCCCCGCCGCAGCGGCACCCCCGCAACCCGCGGCTCTCACCATTCTCCTCAGGGCCGGGCTGGGTCTCGGCGCCGACTCTGGTTCTCCTCTCGCCGGGCAGCTCCTGCTCGTGGTTCGGCGTCGGCGGTGGCGGGGCCTGTCTCCATCTATCGGGGCTGGGCTCGGCGGCAGCGGAGGGCTGGGTGGGGAGCGGCCGGGCGAGGACGACGCTCCGGGGACGAAGGGAGGCGGGGGACGCGGAGAACGGCGCTGGTTCGGCTCCGCACCGGGACCCAGGGCTAGCGGCGGTCTCGGCCCGGCGCCTCTTTCTCATAATTGTGCGACTCGGCCGGCGGAGGAGCCGCGGCGCTGCCGCGTCAGCGCGCACCGCCCCCGGAGGAGGAGGGGGCTGAGGGCGGTGCTGCCCGCCCGGCTCCCCTCGGGCAGGACGTGGGGGGAAGTCTCGGGCTCTCTACACGAGCCGCCAGCCCCGAGCCGGGTCCCGAGGTTCCCTGAGAAGGTGTTCGTGGCTGCGGGCGGGCAGGCGGCCGTGCCGCCCTGTGCTCTGGTGAGGTGAAGGCGGAGATGTTAAAAATGGAGTTTCCCGGCAGAGAAACCCGCCTGGCTGGGAAGGCGCGGTTCGGAGAGAGGGGCCCCGCAGCTCCGCAAAGGCGGCGGCTTCGCTTGGGGCTGCACGGCCCCGGCAGCCTGGGGTCACCTCAGCCCGGACACTTCAGAGCCGGCTCCGGGAGAGGGACCCGGCCTCGCTCCCTGCTAGAACCACAGGGCAGGGAACCGCGTTAGTTCAGAGCAGTTCACGCTTTTCTTGCCAGCCCTGCTCGCACATGGTAGTGCCGCCATTAGCACCGCGTCGGAGGCATCTTCCAACAGCCTGAGCCAAAGTGGAGGAAATTTCCTTCTGGATGGAAAAAAGAGGATGTATTTCTTCCACTTCAGCCAGCTCAGTTTCCAGTTTAGACTGGAACTGCCTAGGGGAAGAACCTTGTCTTCTTTTGTCCTTGTATGCAATCTCCAAACTTGGATAATTTCTACTATGTATGTCATCCTATAGCTTTTGCAACAACCTCTGTGCTAGAGTAAACAGCCTTTGTAAGGGAGGGAAGAGAGATTGGGTTTGGCTTATATTGTATTCCTCAAATTAAAAAAAATTAAAGAGATCCTAGAAAAACCTCTCGTCTCTTTTTAAAATACCATAGCCATGCTAATTATATATAAACTCAATCCAAACATTCAAAGTAATTTAAAACCTTTGATTTTTTCGCCTGATCATTTATCAGCGAGTTGTTTATTATCTGTTTCTTCTTGCTGCAAAATGCCAGCATTAACGTTGGGCTGAGCTGACGTGTGCTCTCGCCTGTACCCTGGGCCTGTGCATCACAGGGTAACAGAGTCCACTCTAGTGATCACAGGCACCATCAGAAATCAAATCAAGCATTAACCTGCAGCAGCCACTTCTGCTGCCTTTTTTTTTTCTTTTCTTCTTTAAACAGAACTGTAGATAACAAGAAACAAAACGTTCTTTCATTAACTGCCATTTAGCAGCAGGGCAAGTCCAGTTGTAAATTCTGGTGTCAGAACACCTTTGCTGTGGACAATAGGTGCAAATTTGGGAAGACTCAGCAACCGAGGCATCCAGATCTCATTAGGGTGTTGCAAGGAGTTCCTCAGCTGCAGGGGAGCTCCTAATGCTTCTTTTAAGTTAACTTCAGAAGAATTCCTGCAATCTTACATAGATATGAAAATTAGGCTCTTGAGACTCTCAATTTCCATAGAAATGGAAAATTAGGCTTTTCCAGGAAAAACTTAAGTGAGTTCTGAGTACAAGATCACAGGAGAAAGAGGCTCCTTTCACTCTTATTGTGTAGAAGTCCCAAGCCTGCTGATCTGCCACTACTTGTTCCTGCCCAGCTTCCTTTGGGCTACTTCTTGGTTTAGGGAGCAGGAACAGAAAGAACAGTGAAAGCCCAGCAGAACTTTTTGGGAAATGGTTCAAGAATCTTTCAAAGTAGAGAAAATGGGGGATTTTTGAGTGCTTCCATTGATACCATAAAGCATTTCTGAGAAATTACCTCATTCCTTCTTTCCTTTCTCCCTCTTCTTCCCTTTCTAATTAATTGATCTAAAGCTCACATCCCACATTGGAGTAATGAGTCAGTTCTTCTATGACTAGATCATTCACCTCATCTCACAGCAATATTTGGGCTATAATGACTTGATTTTCATGATTATCATGTTGGCCTCTAAGTTTCATATTTGTAAATCAAAGAACTAGAAGAAGCAAGGAAATTAGGAAAAAGTAGCTGAAGGCCAGCCTGGGCATGAGTCTTCTCTGGTACAAGCTATTAGTTTAGGAGAATATGAGTAAGGAATTTCCATGCCTTTTTTTCCTGCTGATCCTGCAAAATTGTAGAGATCATCATCAAACTGTTTGAGAGTTCAGCTGTGATAAGCTGAGTTGGAAAGAGCACATTGTTTCAGGAGCAGCTTGGGATGAAAATGAAAGGAAAATGAGTCATCAACATCCTCTGTGCCTCGTGCTGTCTGGTGGAGCGTGAGCTCTCAGTGTTGTGGAGGCAAGGACACAGCACCACAGTGAAACACATCCGTGTGACCTGACAGTGATGGCACATGGCCTAAGGAAGTCACCTTATATCCTCTTCCTACCTTGATCAGCCAATCAGCCTACAGAGCATGGCATGATTTAGCATTTAGTCATCCAAAAGGTGAATTCTTGTACATTCTGATGTTAAATCATGTAAATTACTGCACTGTAAGATAAATATTTGCTACTTGTCATGCTAAGTGTTACCTTTCATTCACACCAAAAGTCAACTCAAAATTCCTCTGCTATCTCCTTCCAAATTAAGAGCTGTGAATCACAAGGAAATAATGAAGCATTATTTTATATCTTATAGCATTTAAGGACCTTTAACCTGAAGCAAGCTTCTGTTAGTTCTGTTATCTCAGATTGAATATAACTGGCTTAAATAAACCTGCTTTTGTTATGTGGTTCCCATATTTCATTTTTATATCTCAAATCAAGCTGTCTGTCCTTGACACGTGGAGTTCATGATGTAATCATCACTAGAACTAATGAAGTTTGTGATGTCAACCCCAATAGGTTGAAATCCCATTAAACCAACTGTAACTCGACCTCAGTGTACATACTAAAGGATAAGAAACCCCTCCTAGGAAAATCTTATCTCAATATTGCAATATCATGTAGCCAGGATGCTGCCGTTTGATTGCTCACCCTCACATGGATGAAATACTGACTCATGCACAGAAGAAAACCACAGCATTCCTCTTGATGAGAAACTAAATGAGTTACCATTAAATGAAAGTGACCTGGTTTTGGCTTTGTTTGATACTATAAGAAGTTTTACCAGATATGTGCTGTTAGTCTGCACTTGTTCAAAATAAGTGCTAGAGTTCAAGCAGTTAAATAAATTGCAAATGCTAACTGATAAGGAGATCTAGTTAATGTCCCACTCCAGGCCAAACAGATTCTCTGTAGAAAACATTTTTTTGTCCCCAGAAGTAATCTGTTCTCTGAAAAGAGTTATTATTTGTTCACTTTTCAAATTTTTGAAACAGGGGTGAATTCTCCCAAATGCCTTACTTTTTCTTTGGCCACAGGTTTGTCCTTTTCTTATATACCCAGGTAAATAATTTCTCCAGCTACAGCTGTACTGGTAAGTCAGCAGTTTACATTCAGACTGCTACTCCTAAAAACTGAAGATTGCTTTTTTTTGACACATGGAAGTTTAAAATTTGTCAGGTAAGGCAAAAAATATACAATAACACAGGTTAATGGGACCTGTAAGTCCCCTCCATTATTTGTGGAAGATTTTCTAGTGATGATGTTGCTGATTTTTTGTGACAAAATTTGTCCAATACCTTTCCTATAATATACCCAATAATGTTATAAACACATAATTTGGCAGCAATTCAAAATATACTGTTTCAGAATGGGATGAAGTAGAAACAGCTAGGAGGTGTCTTGCCATTGAAACTTGGGAAAATAAAACTTAGAAATTAAGTAACTTAACAATTTTTTAATTGTTTAGTAATTTTAGTTACTTCGTTGGTTTGTGGTACATCCCAGAGTCAGACATCTTCTGAAGAGGTTCCAAAGTTTTAGTAATCTTTTTGCATTATATCAAATTTCCTTAAAGGCAAAAAGTAGCTAGGCTAAGCAATGTGTTAGCTGTAACAGCTGAGATGTATTCCTTCAAAAGAAACAAGCATACAGAAATAGGTCATAAAATCCAAGGTAAATTCAAGACACACCAGAAGAAGAATAATGTACAAGAAGTTAATTTTGCATATTTAATGGCCATTAAACAAATCTCCTGTGTCTGATTTAGAATCGAATCTCACAGACAATGGATATCTTTAAATTCAAGTTACAAACCAGCTCAGGTATTCAAATCGATGAAACAACATTGGCATCTCAGTGTGCCACAGCCCCAGAGAGGGAAGATGGAGGTAGCATGGCTTTGGGGATAAGAGAGCTGACCTGGAGTCATCTGAAGGCCACCAGTGCAGTTCAGCTCCTCTCTAACAACTGCATTTAGGTGTTAACTACGGGCCAGAGCATAAAACAAAGTCAGCCACTGACTTTGCAACACAGATGCAGGCACTGGCATGTGAGGCTTCTCAGATTTTCAGTGCTTTGCTGGGAATGGCAAACCCCCACGAACACTAGGAAAGGACTGGAGGGTGCCTTTCTGATGGCAGCACAAAGGGCCCAATGACCAAACACATCAAGCTCAGAGTGCAAAACCAGTAACTCCAGTTCAGCTTTGTGCTAGGACCTGTCACATCCAAATTAGGCAACAGAGAGTGTGGGTTTTCCAGTTTTAAAATCTGCATTAAAGATATTCCATAGTAATAGGAAGGGATATCAAGTTAATGAGGTAATTGAGCACATGCAATTCAGAATGTTCTTTTACATGTTCCATGAGTGCACAAAAAGAGATACATTACCCAACCATCATCTAAAGTAGAATGTAAGCATATCCTGTATTTGGGAATGCTATGTTACTTCCTGCTCAGAAAACAGTTTGAGCTTAACCAACATAGGCCACAGTCTTGCACAAAACTGCCAAGGGTGTGTCTCCAAACATCTCTATTTAGATGTGTAAAATCAGTAGCTGCCAGGAACTGGATGGCTGCATTTACAACATAATGGTGACCCTCTGCAAGATTTTATCAGTGCCTGTCTTTAAAAATATAATCTCAGTTTCGTTCCTTCTGAACTTTCTCCTCCCATTTAGAATTTCT